TAATATTATCCCACTTGCTGAACTGTCTGTACTCATCCGTCAGAAGAATCCACGTATACAGCTCTTCTATGATGCTCTCATTTCGGGCTTGTATATCTCCGATCTCAGCACGAGGGTCAATCCAGCGGAGAGACTGCAGACAGTTGCGGTATTCGTCTAATTTTTTCTGGTGCTCACTGGCTATAGTTATCTGTCTGATCTGGTCCTTAATGTGTTCCTGGTTATAGAGAGTGAAGTCGTTTTGAAGCACCTTTTCTGCATCTTTGACAGCATTCAGGTTCCCGCTCCAATCATCCAAATCGAGAAAGCCCCGGAGCAGAACGAGAAGTTGACTTTTGTAATAGAAACAGACGCTTTTGATCTGATAGAAGAGCATTGACTCGTAGAGATCAACAATTCCAGTTTCGAGACTGTGATTCATCTCTCCCAGCGATGTATTGTTCTTGATATTCTGGTCACTCAACAGCTTGTCTACGGCTTTTGAATACCAGCTCATTCGGGAAACAACGTACGCCACTCCATCATACAGATCTGCTGCTGCTTTGGCTGGCCTGACCAAAATATAACAAGTCAACATGGATCCAGAACACGAGTTGGGTTTACTTACATCAATTGTGGAAGAAATCACTGCCCACGGAAGCGCGGTCTGTGGGATGCTTTGTAATGGAATGTCAAGAAATGCCTTTACTTGCGTTAAAACACCGGAAACATCATTCATTGTCTCCATGACATTTTTGTTATCTTCAATCCTTTTCAGGGCCCTTGCGACTATCGCTCGCATTCGTTCTTCTCCTAAATCTAAGCGAGGACCAATACCTTCACCAGCTGCATCAGAGATGGGCGTTTCGAGAAAGACCGCCAACACCAGTTTCTCGTATGCTTGCACATACTTTGCCTTCTTTGGATCTTGCAATATATTATTGTAGGCTTTGTTCCAAAGGGTATTGTGGATGGTGGTCAAACATTCTGTCGAGGTCACATTCTGGTCAGAATGATCAAGAACGTGTTCGTTCGCTTGTGGCTTTTCTTGTTGCGTGGCCCCGCTAGGAGGTACATGCCAATTCTCTTCCACAACTTTTGCAGTGTCATGATATTTAGATTCCCCTTGAGTCGGGGAAGTCGAATCATTAGTCGTGTGGGGACCTTCGGCCTGAGTGCTTTGCTTTCTCGGCTTTCCTCCTCGAAATGCTTCAAATCCCTGACGAACCCTTGCTCGAAATCCTGTCTTTATTGAAAAATACATCTTATCGTGTTCAAATTTGATGCCATAGTATAAATAATGTGGAAGCGTAGCATTTTTCGAGCTAAAAAGGTGGGCGAGACCGCAATTTCAGGGTTTCCAGCCACGCTATATCGAACCCCTGTCCGTGGATTATACGTGGGTTCATTTCAGTGGCTATTGTGACGCTATTGCGGGATCTTAGGCGCGTACTAGATCCATTTAAACTCCACCGGATGGGCGAATCGGAGACTTCCATCGGATAAACTGTTCTTAGCGGCCATTGTTTCTCCCCGTTATCTGTATATTTCAGCTTGCAGTCAACCCAAGGGAAAATAAAGGCTTGGTTCTTCTAGGGGTTCTTGCTATATTAGTTTCCTTGATCTTCTTTTACGTTCTGATTTATATTATAGATTTTGTTGATATCTAAGCAAATTACAAGCAAATTTGAGAGTTCCTTACATATGGTACTCATTATCGTCATGTTGGCTTTTCTCGCCATTGAAATGAATGTAAATATGTGTATATGAACCGATGAGATAGATATATCTTAAATACACAACATCCTATCTCCAAAGTCTTCAAAATTGCCCCGCACTCTTCCATACCTAACTATATACAAAGAGCAAATAGAGACAGACCGTCATCCAAATCAGCCTACAGAAATTCCCTATCACCTCCTCTTACTAAACACAACCTTCAACTCTCCCAGATTCGCTACAAAGGTATCCCTCGTCTCCTCCCTAAACCTCCTCCCATCCTCCCCATCCGCCAACCGCACATCAAATCTCCCAAACAGCATCGCCACCACAACCCTTAACTCAATATACGCTAGCCCCTTCCCAACACAACTATACGCGCCACCCACAAACGGGAAATATGCCGCTTTATTCATAATCCAATCTAGTTTCTCGTCCGTCCAGCGCTCGGGGACGTACTCCTCCGGGTTTCGATAGTACCGAGGATCGTTCTGGACGGGTAGAATCGGCACACTAACTATTGTATCTCCCGGGATGAAGGTGGAGGTACCCTTATCATTGGGGATGTGGATGCCTTCTGGTGGTGTTTTGCGCTGGATTCCACCGTGTACTGGTGGCTGTATGCGGAGGGCTTCGCTGACGCAGGCGTTTAGGTAGGGGAGGGAGGATATGGAGCGGTAGTAGGTGTCTTCGGGGGATTCAGTAGGGGACGTTGATTCTATCTGGCGCTTTTCTGTTGCGGAGTCGAGTTCGGCTTGGAGTTTGCGTTGGATGGATGGGTTGAGGGCCAAGTGGTAGATTATGACGCTCATTGTGACGGAGCTGGTATCTCTGTTCGTAGTTGATTAGTTAGATGTCAATGACAAATTGAATGAATGGTGGTGAGGCTCACCCTCCAGCAATAACAAGCAGCTCTCCCTCACTATACAACGCCTTCTTAGATAAATCGCGCATAGACGGAAGCATCCTCGTCATAATATCCTCCCCAGGCACTTCATTTATTTCTTCTTGCTGCCGCTTCTCCTGGATTCGATCTTGGATCCAGTTCCCATACTCTCGAATAGCACTACCAGCACCGGGCAGGCTCATCAACAAGCTGATAAGCCACGGCGTGTGAACCATGACATGCTGGCCATTCCGCATGTTCTTGACGAAGCTCAGACTAGAGTTCAATTCCCAGGTCTCGATATTATTGAAGGAATAGCCCCAGCCGACGACTCCCATGATATCGTAGCTGAGAAGTGACATGGTACTGGCGACAGAGAGCGGTTGGTTGACACGGTGCGCCAAAGCGTCGAGGAACGTTTCCGTCGTGCGGATGACCATTGGTTGGTAGGATTTCAGTGCTGTTGTTTCAGTGAGCACGATATAACACATCCAAGGGGGTATATCACCAACCTCTTCCACTAAACACCTTATCCCAAAGAGCCTTCCTTCGCTGGGAGTGCACAGCTGGATCCCGCATATGAAACACCGCATAGTCATGCGTGAAGTCACCCGAGCCCTTTAGACGATCATACCACGGGCCACGGGTACATTTACTTGAAGGTCCATAGATGACATCGATGGCTTCAGCCGACAGGATGCTAAGTTCCTGGGGCCCTGTTCGGACAATATCCCCGTATCGCCTATGTAGGTTCCATACACGCTCGAAGTTGCGGTTTTTCTCGAGATTCTCGTATCCGGTTACGAACTTGGAGAGTTTGAGAGAGAATGGGCCTGGGAAGTGATGTAGACGATGGAAAAAGGCGCGGTAGGTTAGGATCGAGGCGAAGAGGAAGACATAGAAGCAGATGTTCAGTATGGACACAGTGCTGATGCCTAGAGACCAGGCGTAGATACTTGTCCAGCTTCCGTGGTTCTTGACTGTGGTGAGTAGGGCTAGAGTATTCACGATCAGATTGGCATAGACCCAAGCACGGCCCTCCTTGGCGCCGCGTTCCCCTCGTGACCAGTAGAAAACATGGGCACTGGTTCCGGCAGCTGCCAGGAGGGGGCCTTTCTCTTTTACAGTGACCAAAAGATCAAGGAACGATGCCATTCTGTTTGGTCTGGAAAACTCCGGGGCATTGTGGTTTCTACTTATATATGCCTATGCTCTTGGCAGGATGTGGGGATCAAAGCGCCAAGACAAACATACCAATAAGGACGCTCTATTGCAATTCCGCTTCGAGTTTCTTCTCGGCATTTGCGAGACAGATCATCAATCCATATTGAATGTATGTAGGCTATACCCTTTCGGGAGACGGTTGCGACATTGCTGATTGGCTGCTCCGCCTAATTCTCAGTATCCACCATATATTTTGAAGTCAATGCACGCAATGCCGGTGGAGTCGACATTACTTTCCACAACAGATGATTCGTTGTGATATCCTTCAGACGGTTGGAAACATATATAGGGATTAAACACCCTTACTGTCAGGACTTCAATGAGGTCAGTCAGCCGTACTGTGTAGTGCAATTCAGTGCTTGATCATTAAGAACAGACCAGTGGAAACTGAAGCCTAAATGTGGCGGATAATGATAGAATGAAAATATCTCATCGCACTTGCTCTACTTTGACTTGGTAAAATTGGTAGAAAACTTTGGGAATATAGAATGTCACTATACATCTCCAAAATTTATAAATACACGTGCTGTATGACGCAGCTTTTATAGGGTTCGGAACAGGATCTCTGGAATATCACGAGGAATGCAAATTATCGTATCTATGAAATGCAGAAAGTAAAGATAAGCAAAGCTAGGCCGGTAAGGCCCTAAGGTTGAGGAGTAATAACGTCCCTTATAATCCTGCATCATCGGCTGCGCTTGGCCCCGCTTTTGATCAGAGTGTGGTGGTCAGAATAAGGTCATACAGACAAGCTTTCTGAGTTAATTTACTTATTGCTTGGATAAGACCTGGGTAGATGTTGCCAACAGAGAAACTTGAAAAAGAATAATATCTCGAACAGATCGCAGGTCGCTCGGAGTGAGACATGGCTGGGGATGGTACCTCACATTCTTGTACAAAGGGCGGACATAGCGGCGTGATAACGCGCTACTTCTCGTTTGGACTCAGCTTTCACACAATTCTCCGGACTTTTCCAAGATTTGCTTATCGACCTTTTCCGTAAAAACTTGTAAAAAGTTCTATAAGTCATCAAAGTATTATACATCCAAACCTAACGCCGTTCAAACTGTCAAATACACTAAAAACACCACAAGATGCGCCTCAATCATCCTATATACAATCCACCATTCTCGTTTCCGAGGAGCCAATGATACAACAAAAACAAAAGGGAAATATTGAAAAGTGGAAGCCATCACACCGCCTGCCTAACATCAGCACGGTACGCCTGCTTCAAACTCCCCAACGAAAGTTCATCGGCGGACCTTTCCTCCGGAAGCCTCTGTATCTCCTCATGATCAATCGCCGACCAACCGCGGTCCGCCCGACTGCGCGTCCCCTTCTGCGTCGACATTTTATAAGTCCCAACCGTGGGGTCCATCTTCGAGTTTGCCTGGGTAGCGTTCGACTTGAATATCTTTGAGACCAGCGGGCGCATGGAGGGCATGCAGGCCGTTATCATGGCGACGCATATCTCGACGGAGGTGCAGTCGATGGCGCCTTGCAGGTCCCAGCTGGAGTCGGTGGAGTTGAGGGCTTGAGCTTCGATGCAGCGGAGGATGGAGGCGATACAGGTTCTGTTGTTATATAAGATTAGTGTCATAATTTTGGGGGATGGGAAAGAACGGACCCAAATCCAAGAGCAAAGACAGACGCCAGCATGCGTTTCTTGCGACTGCTCATGTGTAGTTGATGGATAACAGAGAGGGGCATGCTCAGGATGATAAAGTCAGTGACGACGTTTGTCACGCCGCTGAATACCACGACGGCGTAGTAATCAATGCAGGTGGCGGGCACGGAAGGATCCCAGGCGTGAGAGAGAGGAACACATTGTAGCCAGGTGGCGAGCACGCTGCAGAAGTTGTACGCAACCACGACAAAGGCCATGAACCAGGTCATGAGGCGGAACCATCGCTGTGGGAAGATCCGACCGTAGAATGTTAGGATGGAGAGCTTGGTGAAGCAGATGGCGAGACAGTAGAAGCACTCGGCGATGGTTATAGACTGTGTGTCTGTATATTAGCGTTGTGTGAGGGTGGGGTGGGTGATAGAATTTAGTTTAGCTCACCAATGTTAGACCCTTCGCATCGGTTACATAGACAATGTGCTTTCCCATGCCAAAAGGGGATGGTTATGTAGATTGAGACGCTGAATGCAACGTTGAAGAACTACCAGCCTGGGATTATTCTGGCTAGGTTGTTGTGGTTGTTTGAAATGCGGTTGGATTCTGTTCATAAGGAGGAGGGGAACAAGAAGAAAGGGGGTGCAGCATGGGGAAGGAACCGGAGAGATGAGTTCCAGACACGCGATATGTTTACCAGTTCGCATGAGGGACCGATTGTACAGTTTCGCAGAAGGATATAGTTCCATGCCACCTTTTTTGATAATGATATACACAATTCTCTGTTTGTCACATATTATAGTAGCTCATATTCCAGTAAACTTCAAACTACCATCAATCGATTACTATTACGCCGGCAAACAAATCTACTCCAAGAACCCCTCAACCAACACCTCCCTCCACCTTTCAAACACCCCCTCAACAAAACTTCTCTCATAAAATGCCTCATTCCAATGCACGGATAGAACTAATTCCCCGTTGAACGTCCACACCTGCGTCAACAACAACCGATTGATAACCTCAATAGCCACCCACCACTCCTCCACCTTGACCTTCCTCTCCTTCCCCTCCACCTCTACCTTAAGCAACTCATTCACCCTTCCCATGGAACTCAGCTCGGGATGCGCAGGTGCAAGCAACGGATCGGGCGGTGCAGCGCCCAACACCTGCATAACTCGTCCCACATAGGTAGGCAGGAAATCGAAGATATTCTGCGGGGCCTCCTTGGCCAGGTTCCTCCGGTAGAGGGAGGTAAATTCCCGCGCAAGCCGGAGAAATTCTTCATGCTTCTCCACCTGCGTTGGGTAGAGCGGCATGCGGAACGGAAGACCTGTATGATAGAGCGAGACGGCGGCTGCAGGGCCGTTCCACGGCTCGGGGAGGTAGCGACGCAGGTCGAGAGGGTTGAAGCCGACGTAGTCGGGTTTGTTTTCTGAGTTGAGGGCGAATTGCAGGCCGGTTAGAGCGAGGGCGGCGTGGGTGGCGGCTGTGATGGTGATATTGTGGGCGGAGCAGGCTTCCAGGAGACGGGTGGTGGTTGCGCTGTCGATGTGGCGGAGGATGCGTCTGGGGTTGGTGGGGAGGACGTTGGGGAGAGTGGGAAGCATGAGGTTTCCATTGTCGGTCTGGGTGAGGCAGGGTTGGAGTTCGCGGTTTGAGGCTGCTGTGGCGGCGGGTTCGTCTAGGGAGGAGCTTGTGTTGGGGAGATTGGAGTCTGAGATGGCTTGATCCACGGCGGGACAGAGACGTGAGGGTTCGGTCCCGTCGATGGGATGAATGGTGCCGTCTGCGAGGAGTTGCAGGAAGGCTGATTGCATGTGGTGCAGGCCGATGCCGTCGATGCGCCAATGGGGGGTGCGGAAGACTACCTCGGAGGTATTGGGGAGGTAGTAGAGATGGACGCGTGGTGAGGGAGTTAGCTGCTCGTATAGATCATTTGAAGTTCGATTGGTGTCGATGTGGAAGGTCTCTTGGGCCCATGCGTCGAGTTGGGTAGTAGAGGTGATGGCTTCATACACGAAGCGCTCGCTGCCGTTGCCGTCTGCCTCGGGTTCAGCGGCCAATTGAGGGTAGACATGGCGGAGAGCTTTCCAGGCTTGCTCAATTGCACTGGTGGGAGGCAGAGGTGGTTGCAGCAGGAGAGTGCAAGTGATTAGGTAGTGTTCTTTGTTGAGCGGAGCACCGGCGGCAGCAACAATGCGGTAGAATGACTCGATGGAGTCGAAGGGACGCTCGTATCGGTTCGGGGAGACTTGTGTCCAGGACATCTCGAAAACCAAGGGAATTGAGAGTTGGGATAGTGGTTTGGGGGCAGGTGGCGGTGTCCGATCAAGTTATGATATGGCAGGAGAGAATTGATAGATTGTGAAATGATTGAGGGGTAAGACTTGAATTGATGGAGCAGGCGGGGGCGATAAATAACTAGGAAGGTCTTGTATCTAGTATCTACTGTGTTACACTACCAGGCAAAGTGGATCTCAGGAAACTTTGTAGCCTTGTAGGCTGACAGACAGTAAGCACTAAATATCATTGAGGCAAGATTTTATGGCCCCCTGCAGATCACTGGTGACTGTCGATACAAGTGTCACACTAAATGTTACTAGTCAATGCTTAGTGCGAGAGAGTGAGGCTTTGCTACGTAGGGTCCAAAACACAAACAACAGAAGAAGCGGACACTGACATTTCTCCCCCACTTATTATCTTTGCTCTTCTCCCCCTCCTTGAATCCGTTCCTGCTGCTCTCTCTATCCTCAAATACACTCTCTTCCCCCTTACCTATATACCAGATATCACACAAATAATATACTTGAACAATGTCCAGCCAACCTCTTACCTGGGTCGTCACCGGCTGCTCCTCCGGCATCGGCGAAGCCCTAGTCCGCGCCATCCTCGCCCAGGTGAGCACCCACCCCACCAACCTTTTCCTTACATATGTACCAATTACTGTTACTGACCAACGAATAATCAGGGCGACAAAGTCATTGCCACTGCCCGCGCCCGCAACAATGTCAGCGGTGCCGACCGTCTCTCGGCCCTCAAAGAAGCCGGAGCCGCAGTGGTCGAGCTCGACGTGAGCCGGCCCCAAGAAGAACTGGATGCCAAGGCACGCGAGATCTGGGAGATCTACGGCAAAGTCGATGTCCTAGTGAACAACGCTGGATACATTGACGCTGGTATTGTCGAAGAAATCACGTTAGCTTGCCCCTCTCCCCCCATTCGTCGTATACTGTCTTGAACCCCCACTAATAAATTCCCAGCGAGCCTTTCCTAATTGACGCCCTCCGCACCAACGCCTTCGGTCCCCTCAATGTATCCCGCGCCTTCCTGCCCCTCATGCGCGCCCAGAAATCCGGAACCGTGCTGTTCACTAGCAGCGTCGGAGTCTACTACGGTGCGCCTGGTGCATCATGCTACACAGGCGGCAAGGGTCTCCTGGAGGTGGTGGTGCCCAACCTGGCTCTGGAGCTGGCGGCATTCGGCATTCGCACTTCACTACTCACCTATGGTTACTACCGCACAGAGGTCATGAACCCTGGAAACTTTCACAGCCGGGCGCCTCGTCCTTTGCCGGAGTATGAAGAGCTCCGGGGTCTGGTGGTTGCTGGGTGTGCGGCTGCCAACCACAACCAGCAAGGTGATCCGGAGAAAGCGGCGAAGGTGGTGGTCGAGGCGGTTAAGGGAACGGGCAAGTTTGAGGGGAAGCAGTTGCCTTTGCGGTTGCCCATTGGTAAGGATGCTATTGCTGCGATGCGTAAAGCGTGCGAGGAGAGGTTGGCTATTTGTAATGAGTTTGAGGGGCTGGTGGATCAGACGGATTTCTAAATTTCGAATGAGAATTGTATATAATGATTAGCTTCGAGTCGGTTCAATTGACATTGTCTATTAAGAATTGGAACGAAATATGACAATCTATCAAGCACCATCCAGAGTCAACAGATCTCTCAGACCAAGCAGCTCCAGTCCCAAAGAATCTAGCTGACCTTTCTTGTGAAGCAGGAAAGGGCAGTGAGCAGCATAGATTAGTTGTGGCTAGCTCATATTTGATATCTCTTCATAGGGTTCATTTCAGCTGTAGCTTGACGTGTTGCGCGATGGTGAAAACCCGCGTCTGTTCCTTGAACAATGGATAGCATACGGAAAATCCACAAGTAAATTGCAATGTATTGATTTGTGTATGCGCGTGTATGTAAGCATATAGAGCCTCAGTATCGGCTCATAAAATTACAAAACCGAGTATTTAATGTGCAGTATGCTAAAGTCGATCAAAGACCACTATAAATTGCGATTCCCAGGTGAATTTATATAGATATGGATACTTTTATTTCTTATTTTTACTCTTATTATCTGCTTAACACACGACATAAAGCTGTTGAGCACACACAGGCATTGAAAGTTCGAAAATTTACTACCCAACAGACGAAACCCTCTCTGGGACCTGGAATCCACACCCCCAAGATTTCAGATTCTTCTGACTCATCGGAAACCATATCCCGACAAGGCTATGCTCGTGTTTTCCCCTTCCGAATGACGTATCTCCTACAGTAAACCTCTCGCCCGAGAGATCGATAAGATATCTCGGTAATGATCTCCGCCACTGGAAAATATGATTGGTGGAATAAGTTTTAGCGACGCCGACTCACGTCTTACAAGTCTAGAACTACACCGATATACTACAAACTCAATTCCCAAATGAGAGAATATATAGTGGACGGGCGCACTCACATTGCTTCCATGATAATATACCGCAGTCTATCAATTGGTGAAGAATGGCCAGTAGCGGATCAAACATGTCTACCACCACGCAACCCCCAGCACTATCATCCATCCTCTCCGCGCAAGACTTCGAAAAAGCAGCCTCTCAATCCCTCACACCCAAAACATGGGCTTTCTACTCCTCCGCTGCGACAGATACAATTACACATGAATCGAACAGAACAATGTACGATCGCATTCTTCTCCGGCCGCGAATCCTCCGCAATGTCACCTCTGTATCAATGGAGACAAATATTCTGGGCTGCCGCATGGATCTACCACTGTTCATGAGTCCCGCGGCAATGGCGACGTTGGTTCATCCGGACGGTGAGCTTGCATTGGCGAGAGGATGTGCGAGGTATGGGATTGGGATGTGTGTATGTTACCTCTCCTTTATCACTGTCGTAGCAGCGGTGTCTAAGGAGTATGATTCTAACAAAGAGTGTGATTAAATGCAGGTCTCCACAAACGCAGCCTACCACCTCTCGGAAATAACATCCGCCGCAGCCAAGCAAACGAAGAATAACAACATCCCATTCTTCTTCCAACTCTACGTAAACAAAGACAGAGAGGCATCGAAGCGCCTTCTCCGCACCGCAGAGCAGAACGGAGCGAAAGCGATCTTTGTGACTGTGGATGCGCCCGTCGCTGGGAAGCGGGAAGCGGATGAGCGGGTCCCGCTGGATCCTAACGATATCCGATTTAGAACGCCGTTACCGATGAGTGGGGCGTGCATTGGTGGCAATGATGAGAAGGGAGGCGGGTTGGGAAGATCGATGGGACAGTATATTGATGCTGGTTTTACGTGGGAGGATCTAGCGTGGTTGAAGGAGAATACGTTTCTGCCTATTGTGTTGAAGGGGGTGCAGACGGCGGAGGATGCGTTGTTGGCGATGGAGTATGGAGTGAATGGGATTGTGGTCAGTAATCATGGGGGGAGGAGCTTGGATACGTGAGTTCTTTGTCTTTTGTTGTCAGTTGAGGGGGTGTGGTGAGTCATACTAATTGTGATTGGCAGGTCTACCTCATCGATTGCTGTGTTGATGGAGATCCGGCGGAGTTGTCCGCAGGTGTTTGATCGGTTGGAGGTATTTGTCGATGGGGGTATTCGGCGGGGAACAGATATAATCAAGGCTATTTGTCTGGGTGCGAAGGCCGTTGGTATGGCAAGGCATTTCCTGTACAGCTTGTGTTATGGACAGGAGGGGGTAGAGAGGTTGATTGAGAGTATGTTTTCCGTACTTGATAGTGATAAGGTGGGAATGCTGACGATCGCAGTTATGAGAGATGAATTAGAGACGACCATGAAGTTGTTGGGGATTACGAATTTATCACAGGCTCACCCGGGCCTGCTGAACACATTGGATGTGGATCATTTAATAACAAAGCAATCTGCGTCGTTGCATGGCGAGCCAGCCAGGGCACGCTTGTAACCGCAGGGTCTTCAATTCGAGCTAGAAAGAAAGAGCTGGTAGTTAATGATGCATCTAGATTAATTCCTGTCTTTCAAACCAGTATGGCAACAGGTGATTGAAGCCAATGCCGAATGTCCCATCAGGATAACTAGCAATAGACGCATCGATGTCTGTCATCGGGTACTGTAGCAGTTGGCCCCAACCGTGTACTGGTACCTCGCTAGTGCTAGCCCAATGCAAGTCAGAAAGCATCTGCAACATGTTCATCAGACTCGTGCCCACGATATTACACGTATGCTCCTCGTTGAGATCGGCACCTTTTGTGAGCAGACACCGGGCTACGCGCATTCCAATGTGGACAATGCGCCCAGAATCAATAGGCAGCTTGAGTTGAAAAATGTCACCTGTAGCGCTGCCCGCCAGCCCCATATTTAATCCGACAATTCTCAGAAGAAAGGAAGCACAGAATCCCACCATCTGATGGATATTAATGGGAACATAGCGGAGATTTAATGAGAGATCACTGTCAGTTCCTATGACGGACAGTACTCTTATAGCAGCGTCAATTGCAGCACGCGCAGTACGGCAATGCTCGAATGTCCACGCTTCGAAGTTCGTCGGACTATTATTATAAGGAAAGATCCCACGAAATGCCAGAGAGTAGAGCTGAAACTGAGCAAAGGCGTGAAACACGTTCTTCAAATCCTGGGGGAAAGAAGAGTGAGGGTGGTCGGTATGGAATGTTCCAGTCGGATACTCCTGCAGACATCGCTTAACTGCGTCTTCTAACGCGCGTATTGTCACCATATCATCTTTTTTCAGTGGATATCTGCAATCTGTGTAGAAGGCCGCATGAGCATTTGCCAGAGTATCGAAGTATAGAGCGAGGGCGATTAGCCTTTGGTCTTCGTCACTGGCAAAATCTGGACTGGGAATCTGCGTCATATCCCAGATCGGCTTGTATTCAACGTCCTTTGGAGGACAACCACGCCCAGTGGTGAAGTATTGGCCGCAGATATAGACGAGACACCACAGCCGAACCTGTTCCATATCGGCTACCTCGCCTCGCATGTACCGATAGAAGGCTTCATCTAGGCTAAGCTCGCTTGAAATGTGAATGGCCTCGCTAGAAAGCTGCTCCCCCATATACTTGAAGTAGAATGCACCAATGCACAAAGCGCGAACATCGTCCAAGCTATTATGGTGAGGATCCATCAACCTCCGCATGAGGGAGAGAGATACAAAGGCTTCGTGGCATTTCTCGTATATTTCTGCTCGATCCGGAGCAAGTAGTGCAGCGACAGAAAGGATGGCTGCCGTTAGCATCGCCGATGACCTGCGGGTAGAGTCCAGAGTCTTATGTTTCATGAGAAGCCCATCCCATAGAAGCGGATTAACACATGTAGTAAACATGTTGAACAGGTCTTCTGCCTCTTCTAAGGAGACAACACCCTCTGATATGAGATCACTTTCCGTAGGAGCTGTACTACCTCCAGAGCCTGATTGGATGTGGAGATTCCTCAGACGGATAACTGCATCAGACAGGGACACTGCGCCAGGCGTATCTCTCAAGAATGTGTTGATTTCTTCTCGCAGGTCAGCGACCTCATTGATAAGTTTGTCTTTGGATCTACAGTTGTCAGTGAGAATTGTGGAATATATGTGGCTGTGGCATACTCTTTCTCATCCTTAAGGCGTTGCACCATTGCAAAATACGCATCGCATTCATTGAGCCCATGACGCGAGCATCTAGTACAGGCGGTCTCTCCTTCTTTGACCCTGCAAGTCTTTCCACGGATCGCACAGCTTCCACCTGAAGGAATTAGCTATGGCATGGAAAGTGGAGATAACTTACATGCGGTGCGTGCGCCGGGAGGGCCAGCGACATCTGGCTGCGTTGTCTCCATTGCTGCGGCAAGTGTCAGTGCCACAACACTAGATGGTTAAGTTATTTACCGATATATGATATTCCCAGGTCAGAAGGTTAAAGGTTGTTTCTGAGGAAGACCAAGGAATCAGAATGAGATGGCTTTATATAGCCATGGTCATGACTCGATAAGATATACATAATAGTTCTTCTTGACTGGGGGATTCCGATGAGACGGGTGTTGCTTCCGCAGGCGCAAATTGGAACGCAATGTAGGATTTCCAATATGAATAGATATGGCGGAGATTGTAAATGTATATCTAACATTCTGTTGAACAATACTGGCCTATATACTCGGCGGATACCGCACATGGGTGCTGTTGTAAGCTGATATATTCTTACTGTCCGAGATAACGAATGTTTCCACCGACTTCTACCATCTATAGAGTATCTTATGTGTGGAATAGACCCGAAATTGCCGAGTCCAATTGGAAAAGACGGCATGGTAGGTATCATATCTCACATTTCGGTATCTGCAGTTATCCCTCTGCCCCATATATGGGATGTGCCTGCTTTTGCTATTTCATGTACTTCAACACAAATGAATCATGCATGGCAGGACAAGCATTAATCTCGACAATAAACAATATTGACTAACGTAGGGTGAACAGTGGAAGTTTCCACAGACCATACTGAAACGCACGAGGACACTTTCTCTCCAACCTATCAGATTAGAAAGAGTGTTTTCAGCTGTGAGAATTGTGGAAATTACAATGCTTTGCAACTGCAGAGTTCAAAGAACCACCAGACACAAACTAAGATATCATTAC